TAACATATATCAGCAGTTAAATCAATTTCTTAAAAATAATCAGTTACAAGAAAAATTCAGGAAAATTTCGGTTTTAAACTAAAGGTTTCGACAAGATAATTTTCATTCTGTTACTCATTCATTTACAAATTATCTGAAGTCAATATGATTTGATTTTCACTAGGTATATGTAGCAATTAAAAAGCTAAAAATCAATTTATACACACATGACAGCCAGTAAAATAATTCTATAGTATTTCTAAAATTTGAAAATGTTTAAAGTGAAGATGGTACCAATAGGATCATGAAAGTAGGTCAGTTTGGACATGTACTATAGAAGTACAAATAATTGATTCTGTTTATAATTTAACTTTTAACAGTATCTGATTTCTAATGGGTAAATAGAAACATCTTTAAAAGTTAGTAACATGACCTTACCAAATTATAAGAGTTTTAAAACAATTAAAACAGTGCAAAATAAATTATCTAAAAAAATGTAACAGCGGAGCTTTAAGATTAGTATAGGTACGTATTTGAATTAAAGCATCCGGGAAGTTACATGTTTGCATTTGAACTTTCAGAGGATTTAAGCATCTCAGAAATAAACCTTAACAAAATCATTCAATGGTTCAATAATTGATGACAATATTACTAGCTAAGTTAAAAGAGTAACACTCAGTTATTATATATGTATGTATGTATGTATGTACGTGTGTTTGTTTCTTCGTTTGTATGCATGTATTTTTCAAAGTACCTTAGGCTAATCCGTCTATATCCATGGCTATCTTTTTAAGTTTTCTTGAATTAATGAATTCTGTTGTTCATCCTTAAGTTGTCTTGATAACTAGCACAGTGACTAGCACCGTTCATATATCTAAAGATTCATTGCTACACTTATTGTCTCCCTCACATTACTTTCATGAATCATTTTCAAACATTCCAGATAATAATTATATAGTAATTTACTGCACAAATCTATCAATTTTTTGATCAAGTCTGTAAATATGGTGCCACTTAGAATGAATTGGTTGATCCAACATCAATCATAAGACAATAAGTATATCTAACAAATCATTATAGTTTTATTTCAAAGCTTTATCCTGTTCCACTTGAATTTTGATTATTAATAGAGCATTGATGAAGAAACCGATTAAGACTTTAAATAATTATTGACTCACAACGAAATTAACTCGTAGTTTTTTTTATAAAAAATTTTCGCATATAACTGAGTAGACTAAACTATAATCTTCAGAAAAAGCAAAAGGTAAATGAAATGAAATAATGTTTGCAACTACTTTTTAACTAACTCATAATGTGCCACAAACACTAAAATACCAAACAAATTGTAGGGAGTATAATGTTAGCAACAAAGTGCTAAATTGAGAGTGTGATGCCAAAAAGTGAATAAATAAGCAAGTTCTCTAAGATTCAACTAGACAAAACGAGTAATATTATATGTTTTTCGGATGATAAAAATCTTAAAATTGTATACTATATAGGATTTACATTTAACTCTTTTGTAGATACGGACACATATTAGCCAACGTGTTTGCATGATTGGAAGACAGTTGTAGATATAATTACAACTTTTCTTAAATTTGCAGTAAAAGTACTGAATTGACCTTTCTCTAAGCTAATAATTTGTCAGCATGTAAGGCACAATCTGATTAATAGCATCAAGTAGTAAACGGAGAGTACACTTGATAACTGAAACTTCAGATTTAAATTCAGTGCCTCTTATCGCAACAAGTAACCAGGATGTATGATGTCCTGAAATTAAATTCTTCTTTGAGTTTATCTAGAATGATTTATAAAAGACCATTGACAAAATAAAGGTGACTTCTCCCATAAACTAATTATAATTACTTAACTCATTCCCTACTGAATGATCCGAATACAACCAGTGATATCAGTTTTTGATGATAGACTAACGACTTGGAGTTTTACAACAACAGTTCCTGGATTCAAATCTCGCGAGGCGGGATAGTGAATGCTCACTGCTGAGGGGCCCCAAAATAGGACGAAACAGCCGTCCAGTGCTTCAAGGTTTTCCATGGTCGTCTAGCTTCATTTGACTCATGAATTCAACTATAAAATTACTAAAATCTCCACAAAACCCCTTCTCATTATAATCGTCGTATGCTCACTAGTGACAGGCTTCAAGAGGTATTTCCTGAAATTCTAGTGAGAAGCAGTGACTAGTGGAGTTTAAACATATATTTGTAAATCATGTTTAGGCCATTTTGGCCTAATACTATCAATAGGCGATACACAAGCTGAGCAAACAATCAGTGTCACTCAAATGTCCTTTGTCATTATTCTCCTGAGATAATCAGGCCAAATGATTAACAATATATCTCGCATACCCTGTACTTTTGTTCCATGTGACTTTGAATAATACAAGTGTTTGATTTGTAAAAATACGACTACCTTGTTCTTCTCCATGAGTGGATGAACAAGATAAATGAATATAGCAGATGTTAATACATGTCAAACATTTATTGAGACCCTTCATCTGCTCTATGGATTCATTCTCACTATCTCAAATGTACAACAAGTGTTTCGTACCACTACTTATACTATTACCGCCTCTACAATTCTGACACTTAATGACCTTTTTATCTGATCATGCTTGTGTGGCATGGAGAATTAAACAGACTCACACACACGTGTCAGGTCCTACATTTCACAAGATTAACTGACTGAGGATATTCAGACCGTATAAACTTTTGTCACTAATGTTCAAACGCTTCGTAAAAATTCTTAAAAACTGTTAACATCAAATTACTGTTGTACGTTGATATCAGCCTTTTCTTACCGACTCAGGTTGGGACTGTGTAGTGCAGTTTAAGTGCATTGGAATTGCCTGAATTCAGAGAGAATATAACGACCAGAATTACTCTTAATTCGCAGTTCCAACTCATCTAAACAGGTGGGAATGCCATAAATCGTGGCACACAGGTGAAGAAATCTCACTCAAAATTAAAATCGATATCTTTGCTATCATTTCTATTCATTATATAATGTGACTTATGATGCTGATGAATCCTTGAAGTTCAAGCACAATCAGATGAACCGACCTGGATTCCACTGCTATTCTTTGCAGGTCTCAATTGATGAAGTGCCGTAAAGGTTTAACGGCATATTGAACTCAAGAAAGATACCAGAGACCAAAAATAAAACACAAAAATAGAATGAGTAAAATGAAGGACGCATTGTTGTAATAAACTTTAATGTTAATTTCCAAACAACAAAAACGGCATCCAGTTTCCTTTAAAGTCTTTATGTGCGTTTGCCTAAGTTTCCCTTCCTGTATTAGAGCTTCAGTAAAAATAAAATACCATAATGAATCAGTTTCACACTGTGCCATGAAGCAGTAATCACTTAGATACCACACACTCGGTAGACAGAAAACACTGTCCAAACACAGTTGAAAGCTTATCTATGAAATGAAATAATTGAAGAAAGTGAAAGTATTGAGTTTTAAATACTGACATATTGCAATACTCTAAAGTAATATAGAAAGCAACCAAGCAAATAAAATTATCACCAATCTTCACGACGAAATTAATTACTAAAGCAATATCATTAACCTAAGTGACAGATGAATTACGTAAACAATTCTATTTAAAATTTAGTTAAAATATACATTCCTGTTCTTCCAGTTCTTCTGACTGTCACCATGTCAATAAGAATTTCAATGAAATCCGGACATTATTCATATTATCACGCATCTTATCCAAGACACATCAACACACGTTGTATCGGAGATACGGAGAAAGAAAACAAAGTTGAGAGTGGGCGGGGATATGATCAAACCTTTGGAAATAGCAATCAATATCATTTAAATCTCATTCAAAATAAACACACTAGACAATTTCATAAAGTTTATTATTTACTTTTAACTAATTACTTAACATATAATAATTATACGATCAAAAAAGCAAAATTCACATAAGTATTTTGACCTTGTAATTAAAGACATCAATTTGGCTGTATAATCAGACAATAAAAATTATGAAAAACACAAGTCTAATAATTCTTGATAAAATTCATTAGATTCTTAATATTTCTTCAAATTATATTATTATTAAACACTCATTTCTCTTTCTTATTCGCCTCGTCACATGTGACCATAATTTTGATGAGGTACATCAGTTAGTCTTCGAAAATAGCGATTAAGAAAGTCACTACGATTGATCAATCTCTCACTAATTCACTTACACTACTGACTCGAATTACTTATCGTTTTCATTGACCTATCACTTGTCCACATTTTCTATCATGTTTTGTCACCACATAAGTATTACTTGAGAAACGCATGTTATCACCAATTGAATAACACTTAGAACTTGATTGTTAACGACTGCTAAATTCTAATTTTTTGTTCTTTATTTACAAGTATACCCTACACTCACATTTAAAACATCAGATTTGCACTTCTGTGACTGATATAATAGAATTAGATATTCTGTTGCTTCTCAACACCAACAAATACTTCACTGACTAACCACAGGCTTAAGACATATCTTTAATTTATGATATTTAGGAAAGTTTGGTCTTAGACATTCCACAAATCTCTCTGTAACTTTTTAGGAATGTTTCGATTCATAAAATGGAGGAGAGGCAATATGCACCAATTATCGAACACTCAAATCATTAGGTAAAGTCGTTTTTCTTTAAAGGTTTTATCCTAGTTACTTTCTAACTACGCTTGTTAGCCTTCATAGAGCATAGTCTACGAAAGATGGTCACTTAACAAACTGTCCTGAACTCTCTTTTCCAGTTCTTGTCGAGTGCTGTGTCGTTTTTCGAACGACGATTAATCATGTCTCGTAATTTCATTCTCAACTCCTTCTATGTAGACTAAAACTTCAGGTTACAATTTTTTGTGAACAACATGACGTTGATAGGGTTTCTATGTTAATTTCAATTGTTATGTGAGACAATTCACGCTAGTGTTTATAAACAATGGTCATTTTCTGGCCAGCTTTTACCCATTATTATTAAAAGAAAATATGTTTCAACATCGAACAACATAAATTTTTATTATTAAAAAAAATAAATTAACGAAGGTTTATACCATATAAGGTGTTGCAAAATTTAAATATTGAAGCATTCATCTCTAGTTTTGGATCTCAATGTAAAAATAAAAACAAGTTTCTCATAAAATCACAACACTGACTGATTTATTGTCTTGATTTGATTAGAAAGATAATAGGTGCAATAAATATCCCGAACGATACCGCCATGGTTACATAATTATCTGTAGATCTGCTAGTAAGACGAAAGGCATTCGTCGAGAGACTTATTAAACCAGATACCGCACTAGTGATGCCATTCAATGTACCAAAATAACGTATTGGGAATGCAGATAGAAGAAAGCTAATGAAGCAACTAAATAAGAGTGATCTTAATATAACCAAGAATACAAACGATGCATAAGAAGCCATATGATTAGGTATAAACATCATTGCACTCAGAGCAACAGCAGAGAGAGCCAAAAGACCTTGTCCAGGGACTAGGCCAAGTGTTAGAGTGTAATAAATTTTATCGGGACTAGCTAAATCACGTCCGTTCGTGAGCATGTTTTTAATTCCTGTGCGAGCTCTTTTAAGACAGAAGTCAATCATAAGACCAGTAACTGGTGACAGTAAGAAACTCGACATGAAAAATGCTGAGGAAATACTTAATAAGTGATCTGCAAGTGGCTTGTCGTCAGAATACGCATCATTTATGTGTTTTGCTAAGTGCGATAGGTAAAATGAGAAACGAAACAAACCCAAAGTAAACCAAAGATTAATCAATAAGTATGGCAAGGAGAAAATACAACTTAATAAAGTTGGGTAACGTTTATCCAGAATTGAAGATATTTCTCCATAGATATCCATTTCTCCTGAACTTTCAACTGACGTTTTCTGTTACAAAACAAATTTAAGAAAGATGAACAATAATAAACGTCAGTCGTGGAAGAATTGCATTTATATCTGTGTTAGATTCTAAGATTTACTTCGAGTTCTAAACTATGCATTTCTATCAAGTTGAATAACGACAAAATAAGACGAAAAAGCATACCATGTCCAATCATATTAAAAATAAACGGGGAACTGTAAAAGATCAGTAAACTACGATGTACATACTGAGTAAGGTTCTGTTATTCGGAAAATGGCATTTCATACCTATTATTGAGAGCTTCGGGAAAGCGTCTTTCTCTCTCATCGAAATTCTATATTCACACCCAATAGGAATGAAAACAAATTGTGTATGGTGTATATAGCTTGTGGCAGATTTCAGACAAACGCAGTCTGTGTAGAATATGAAGTTCAATGGTTGTATTGATTTTGTTGCTTATTACAGTTTATTAGAATATGTGAAATGCCTACAAAATTTTAAATTCTGTCGATTTCGAAATCCAGTCATTTTTAATTTTAGTGGTTTTGTTACGGATAATTTCTACTGCAATTAAAACAAGCAATTTAGTCTATTCTCCACGTGAAATAGCGCACCGATCATTTCATGGAACTATCTTTTTGTAAGTCAGAATATGATAATAGAATATGACGTTGCACACTTATGTCATCGCACAAGTGAGGCTAAATTGACTGCTGTTATTCGTGGAAATGTTTAGTAGGAGAACATAATTTTAAGTTAAACACTGCAGAGGATAAACATCACTGACAAGGTTTACAACATCGGATATGGATAGATTTTTGATCCAAATATATTCAGCCCGGTTGCCTCAAACACACAAATCTGTGTTGTTGCATGCAAATATAACGATAGATGATAACCACTCACCTCACATAACTTTTCTTCTTCTGTGTTGAGAGAGGAGAATTTCCCCATATCTTCAGATTTCTGAGTAAGGATAAAGAGTGCCACAAAACTGCCAACAACTATTGAGCCACAAGCCAAAATAATAAACGACCATCTGAATGGGAATACAAGGTAGGTCAACGATAACACATAAGCTACAACCGAACTTGAGTCGTACGCTCCAGACAAAAGCGATATACAAAGACCACGAAACTGTGGGAACATGGAACTGACTTGATGATTGCATATCAAGCTGCATATACTACTCAAGGCGACAAGTATACCGGCAGCGTAGAATAGTGGCACTGTTTCACCAGTTGTAAATGCAAACATTACGGTACCAGCAAAGTATACTACAACTGCCAGCAGTTTTAAAACTCTCAGCCCCACCTTATCCATCAGTATTCCAGCAAATACAATAAGACACATTTGTGACACCATCCAAACCATGAAAACAACTCCGAACATATCATAATGATAAGAGCACCCTTCTTCCGTACAGTTATAAGCGTAGACTCCGACTGATTTGTAGACTGTGATGAGAGAATTGAAGCCATAATGATAGCCACCGAAAAGGAAAACATCAAAAATTGCTAGCGTCAGTCCAAGCCAACGGCGAATTTTCGGCGGGAAGACATTGTCAAATTTCTGACCTATAATAACGAGATAAATAAAATAACGCTGTAACCGTGATGATCATTTTTAAGTAATATGTAATTCTATAAGTATAATCGCTGGAGTGACAAACCGACGAATACGAAATTAGTAGATTTTCTAACGTATAAACATACGTACATACTGAGGATACAGCCCCAACCTGAGTCGGTAAGAAAAGGCTGATATCAACGTACAACAGTAATTTGATGTTAACAGTTTCTAAGAATTTTTACGAAGCGTTTGAACATTAGTGACAAAAGTTTATACGGTCTGAATATCCTCAGTCAGTTAATCTTGTGAAATGTAGGACCTGACACGTGTGTGTGAGTCTGTTTAATTCTCCATGCCACACAAGCATGATCAGATAAAAAGGTCATTAAGAGTGTCAGAATTGTAGAGGCGGTAATAGTATAAGTAGTGGTATGAAACACTTGTTGTAAATTTGAGATAGTGAGAATGAATCCATAGAGCAGATGAAGGGTCTCAATAAATGTTTGACATGTATTAACATCTGCTATATTCATTTATCTTGTTCATCCACTCATGGAGAAGAACAAGGTAGTCGTATTTTTACAAATCAAACACTTGTATTATTCAAAGTCACATGGAACAAAAGTACAGGGTATGCGAGATATATTGTTAATCATTTGGCCTGATTATCTCAGGAGAATAATGACAAAGGACATTTGAGTGACACTGATTGTTTGCTCAGCTTGTGTATCGCCTATTGATAGTATTAGGCCAAAATGGCCTAAACATGATTTACAAATATATGTTTAAACTCCACTAGTCACTGCTTCTCACTAGAATTTCAGGAAATACCTCTTGAAGCCTGTCACTAGTGAGCATACGACGATTATAATGAGAAGGGGTTTTGTGGAGATTTTAGTAATTTTATAGTTGAATTCATGAGTCAAATGAAGCTAGACGACCATGGAAAACCTTGAAGCACTGGACGGCTGTTTCGTCCTATTTTGGGGCCCCTCAGCAGTGAGCATTCACTATCCCGCCTCGCGAGATTTGAATCCAGGAACTGTTGTTGTAAAACTCCAAGTCGTTAGTCTATCATCAAAAACTGATATCACTGGTTGTATTCGGATCATTCAGTAGGGAATGAGTTAAGTAATTATAATTAGTTTATGGGAGAAGTCACCTTTATTTTGTCAATGGTCTTTTATAAATCATTCTAGATAAACTCAAAGAAGAATTTAATTTCAGGACATCATACATCCTGGTTACTTGTTGCGATAAGAGGCACTGAATTTAAATCTGAAGTTTCAGTTATCAAGTGTACTCTCCGTTTACTACTTGATGCTATTAATCAGATTGTGCCTTACATGCTGACAAATTATTAGCTTAGAGAAAGGTCAATTCAGTACTTTTACTGCAAATTTAAGAAAAGTTGTAATTATATCTACAACTGTCTTCCAATCATGCAAACACGTTGGCTAATATGTGTCCGTATCTACAAAAGAGTTAAATGTAAATCCTATATAGTATACAATTTTAAGATTTTTATCATCCGAAAAACATATAATATTACTCGTTTTGTCTAGTTGAATCTTAGAGAACTTGCTTATTTATTCACTTTTTGGCATCACACTCTCAATTTAGCACTTTGTTGCTAACATTATACTCCCTACAATTTGTTTGGTATTTTAGTGTTTGTGGCACATTATGAGTTAGTTAAAAAGTAGTTGCAAACATTATTTCATTTCATTTACCTTTTGCTTTTTCTGAAGATTATAGTTTAGTCTACTCAGTTATATGCGAAAATTTTTTATAAAAAAAACTACGAGTTAATTTCGTTGTGAGTCAATAATTATTTAAAGTCTTAATCGGTTTCTTCATCAATGCTCTATTAATAATCAAAATTCAAGTGGAACAGGATAAAGCTTTGAAATAAAACTATAATCATTTGTTTCTACATCATTCTAGTCTCTCACCAATCAATGTATATTCATATTCGCATTATACTCCCGTGTATGTGAGTAATTCTCAATTAATCACTATTACACTGAAGAATATTTACTTTGCTGTCAGTATGGACACAAATAAGATGTATGTCAAATGATAAATTGTATGGACTTACACAAATCCATCTTCCGTACTTTGAGATGGTGCTGTCATTGTTTTCGTGGTATTTATATTATCAGCTAATTTAAAGAAAAGAGATTAATTTACGCTTCTGAATCAATATCCAATAATTTTCGATCATTTGATAGTGTTTATTCGCTTTAAAAGAATGTAACTCAATATCAAGATAGCGAAGCAATATATATATATATATATATATATATATATAGATTGTGTCAATCTGTCCTTTATGAATAACAATGGTAGAGTTCACCCATAGACAATAATTTGTTTTCTTCAGATTTTGAGTCGTTGATTTTTATTCCTCGGTTCTGTTCTCTTTTTTACATCTTACAGATTCAGTTGAAAAGAATTTAAGGCCAGGTGGCCTTTTTCACTCCTGCAAGTGTTGTTCTTTCAGTTGGTACGACTTATTTTTTAGGGGCATCAACCCACAGAGCGTCATCCCTCCATTTGTTCACGACTAGATGGGGGGTGGGTCGATAATAAGTTGACGTCATAGTTGTTTTTTGATGGTTTTTTTGGAGGATCCTCAAACTCTATTTTTCGGAAGACAAAAAAAATAAGGCTATATCGGATCCACACTTATCATTCAGTCACTCAGTAACCTCTGATTCTTGTATTTGACTTCAAAAGATTTATTTTAACTAGTCTATGGTCAAGCGGGAGGTTTGTGACTCCAGTAATCAGCTTAGTTGCGGTTCGTCGAACCTTCTCAAGCAGCTTACTGTATCTTTTTAGGAACCGGCTAGACACTCTCGTGCAATGCTGGAATTCTTCGCGATTGATCACTCCATACGAAGTCGAAAAGCCTTCACATCCATATTGGTGCATGCTTTACGAGTTGTTCATAATTTTCTAAAATATCAACTTTCACGGGTTACTAATAAGTTTGTTATATCTAGATAATTTGTTCTACAGCGATTTTATTTTTCAGAAAGTGTATGATTTCGTTCAGATACGTTAACAAGTAATTACGAATAAAATTTTCTGAGATTTCAAAAACTACACTGGTTAGGCTTACGTGTTGGCTGTCTTCAGGTTTATGGCTCGTAACTGATTTGATAACAGGAGTTTCTATGCCGTTCTTCCTATCTTTTGATAATCTACTTTGGGCTAAATATAGCTTAGAAATATGCTCAGGGGATTTAAAACAAAATTGTCTAGTTCTTCTGGTAACATAGGATGCTTTTTATCAGATTCTATAGATCTGCCTATATCGGGTTTATTTAGTAGGCCAAGGACATTGTGCTGTTGAAGGGCATGGTGTCTGGAGTGTGTTTGGTTTATATAAACTGAAAGGGAAGGCATTTCTGCGATATATATATTGCTAAATTGATTTGGGAATTTTAAGGCTTTATCATCTACGTCATCCACCTTGAATACCTCACAAGCTGTTAAAATCGGGTTATCTGGTTTTCTTGTTCAATCTACTGAAATGGCTGAGTGTAATTCTTTTGTTTATTTTCTTTCCAGACGTTTGTCGTGGCTTGAGCTGACTTACCATTGTTGGTAGAAAAAAAGAAATTATAGACTACAATTGCATGGTGAATCTTACTGAAGAGTGGGGAGTAATGGAGATTTATACGTCGGACCAGTATGAAATCCTGTGAGGATGATTCACAGTTGTTGCATTCATATGTTGCACTAGGGTATATGTGATGATCGTGACGGTCCAGTCCTCAGATTTTTTCAGCCTAACACAAATGCACTAAAGACTACTGAGATTAAACATCGACCACTTATCGGCTGAGAACTGGAAACATCTAGCAAGACACTACTTATCTCACAGTTTGTAATACGATGTGCCAAACCGATCAGCGGCCTTAGTCTTTTAGATTTCAGACAGTAACTAACTTATTCGCACTTTGATGGTATATGTTGTTGCTAACGTTAGACAGGGTAGTATTTTTATGAATGAAGCTACTTCTTCTCCTTTAAGCTTTCATGCACTGTTGGCTCTTAGTATTGTGAAATTTTCTAAATCAACCTCCCTATTGTCTACTGACTGCATTAACCAGCTATCTTTGATGGCGATCACAACCGGCTTGGTAGAGTCTATCTGTAAGTCAAGCCCCGATTGCTTGTTGGTCACCTTCCGTGCATTTGTTTAACCGATCGCAATACTATTCAAATGGCTTTGTGCTGCACACAAAGTGGCTTCAGCATTATTCGCCATCGCAGTCTCACCACCTAATAATTTGCAACTTGAGAGTCTGTTTCGCCAGTATCTAACTACAGTTCCAGTCTCTTTTTCAGATTTATATGCGGTGACAGCAGCAATTCTGACCCTGTTGTTTTATGTCACTTCTGTTTCACTAAGTCTCTCTCCATGGGAGTCTTAAATAACGCTTAATTCAGCCTGGCTTGATTTCGCCTCAATCCTGTTAGCCTATATACTACGTACACCTTCAGAGAGGTTATTCCGGAGAAATCTTGTTGCATAAGCTAGTGAGATGGATCTTTTATCAACTCACTGTCATGCTTAAAGCGAGTACTACGTTATAAGCTTTCATTCTCTCTGGCCATCTGAAAAAACGACTGACCTGTATATGCGATCGGCTTTTGATTATTCAACTAGTGTTTGGGAGACTGTGTTTGTTTTCACGACATTAGATCCTTTGTTATTCTTAGTTTGTTCCCATTCATCTTATTTCACTAGAATTGCGGTCTCAGTC